GCTTGCCTGATAAGGAAGTATCAAAATGAACACTGTCAGGGTTAATTTTGTCAACTTGACTAGGATATGGTGCCCAGTTGTTTGGTCACATACCAGTCTAGATATTTTTGTAAAGATATTTTTAGATGGGATTAACATTTAAATCAGTAGACTTTGAGTAAAGCAGATTGTCCTCTGTAACATGGTGGGCCTCATCCAATCAGTTGAAGGGCTTAAGAGCAAAGACAGGTTTCCTGAAGAATAGGCAATTCTGCCTCAAGATTGCAGCATAGAAAACGAGTTTCTAGTCTGCTGATTTCAGACTCAAGATGGCAACATCAACTTCTTACCTGAATTTCCAGTCTGCTGGCCTGCTCTACAGATTTCTGACTTGCAAGCCCCCACAATCACATGAGCCAGGTCCTTAAAATCTCTCTCTCTCTCTTTCCCCCTGCCCTCTCTTCGTTCTTTACATGAACAGAACAAATAGGATATATATATCCTATGATATATTATATATTCATATATATATATACACACATACACACACACACACACACACACATGTCCTATATGTTCTGTTTCTGTGAAGAACCTTGAATAATACACCCACCCACCCCAATTTGGGCTGACTTATATTATTGATAGAGGCAAAAATCATTTTCTGATGTCTCCTGAAACCATTTTACCCTTTCCTTCCAATTCTTGCAGGCAGCTCCTAACTTCGGCTCAGATGAATTCAACAGTTTCTGTTTCCATTCCACACAGTGCTTCCAGACAGGATTTCAAAAGCAGAGGTTCCTAACTGATCCTACAGAGCACAGATGTTCCACCTACTGGGCCAAAACTAAGTAATTGCACCATTTCATAATTTGAAGAAAAAATTAATGCTCAAAATTTGTCATTTTAAGCATTTTTCTCTCACAAATTTTTCTTGAATTCTGGGTGCTTGCTACCACCTGTCTGGTTTATAGTATGAATTTAGGCCAAAATGATCTACTTAATTATTTTAAATTTAATATATCAATGCTTTGTGGTGTTCAACAAAGATTAAACATGCCCTCTAAGTGCAAGCCGCTTAATCAGTCTTGAGAACAACTGTTTTAAAACCCAGCTCTGATTTTCTATCATTCTCCTGCTTAAACTCCCTATAGCCTTCATTCAAAGGAGAGCGCTGGGTAGCTCCCACTGAACCCACAGGCTCCTTCTTACCTCCCATCGCCAGATGGCTCCTCTTGGCCACCCATTCTCTCTTGCTGACCAGTCTCTTTAAATCCAGATTTCTCCTGAATTTGTAACTTTTTGACTCTTCAGTTTGTGGAGATAGTCCAGTGCCTTCCCTTTGCCTGTCTCTACAGTATTTGTCCAGATCCAACCTTTCTATTCTCCTTCTAGCCCATGGATGAGAGATTGGATGACCAATGAGATGAAGCACAAGTTCCTCAGTTTGTATTCAAGACAGTGCCAACCAGGTTTCACAGGGCCTGCTGCTTGTCTTCTGCTGCCCTGAGGGTCCTGATCATGGGTCCAAGTTGTGCTTAGGTTGTCTCTCCCTTTGGGATCCCTTCTCTCATTTCTTTGCCATTGCCTGAAGCTTAGCTGAAAAACCTCTCCTTTCCCTAACTACACTTGCCCCAAATTATCCTTTCTTCCTTACCTCCTTCTCTTTGAGCTAAGCTACCAGCTCTCCAGACATGTCTTGTCTGGTGGATACGTGAGTGTGGTTTTTCTCCCCTACTAGTGTCTGCCACAGCAATCTAGCTGGTACTCTGTTACCTCTTTTCTTTATCCAAGTTTGTTTAATCAGCTATTCTGAACCCACAAAGGAATAGATGTTTGTACATTAAAAAAAGTCAATTTGCCCTGGCCGGTTTGGCTCAGCAGTTGGAGCGTCGGCCTGTGGTACAGAGAGACCCGGGTTCGGCTCCCGCGAAGGGCACATACCCCGGTTGCAGTTTGTCCCCGGCCCTGGTTGGTCGTGCGGGTGGCAGCCACTCGATGTGTCCCTTCACATCGATGTTTCTCTCTCTTTCTCTTCCTCTCTCTCCCTCCCGCTCTATCTGAACAAAAAATGGAAAAATGTCCTCGGGTGAGGATAAAAAAAAAAAAAAAGTCAATGTGACAAATAATTGCATTAAAGAAGCAAAATTACAAACTTTCAAACTAATTGATGAGTGACACACCTAGAAGGCAATGACTACACTCGTGGTAGATTTTGTCTTACGAAGAAGGTTTGTGATTAGGGAGAAATGGAAGTGTCATTTGTCATTGGGCAATTATTGGCCACATGCCCATTTCTATTGTGATAGAATATTGGCTCTGACTGCAAATTTAGAGGTTGGTAGTCAGCCCCCAAATTGTACAACTGAGGAAACGAAGCCTCCAAGAGGGGCAGTGACTTGCTGGAGATCATCGATGTGTCGTTGCAGTCAAGATTGGAGTACTGAACTGCTGACTCTTAAGCCAGCCTTATGATGACTTTGTTGCTAATCATTCTTCTTTAAGGTAGGGAGATACCATCTCCCTTAATGGTTCCTTAAAATTAAAAGTAACTCCCAACGCCCTGCCTTGAGCCTACCCTTTCCCCTGACAAGTTAAGCCACAGGGGGAACCACATAACAAAGCTGGAAAGGAGAGAGCCTTCGACCCTTGCCCTCCTTTCACAGTATTACTAATCCTTCACCCTCATTTCTGAGATCCCACAGCTAGAGAATCATCCTGTGCTGCTCCTGAGTAGAATGTGAATACTGAATATAAAAGAGGCACATTGAGTCATCAGTGTCAATGCCTCTTGTGAATGTTATCAGACCCCGTCCTCGTGTTTCCAAAGGGAGAGGGAAGACACCTAGGGAGGGGGAAGAACCTAAAAAGACACACCTCCTAACTCATGATTTGGGCTGGGGCTGACTCTATGGATAGAGACTGACTCCTGATAATATGATGTGTCTTCCCTTCCCTTTTAGCACCCAGTATATATGAGTTATTTCAAATATGAGCTTACTGACACTTTCCTGTTATTCCAAAGCAGCAATTCCCACATATGTATTAGATTTTTTTTTTTTTCCCAACCTGGTGGGGCTAGAAAGTTTGCAGATGGGATGAGGTGAATTTTTTAAAGAGAGATTGGTAGAGGGCAAGAGGGCACAGCAGCAGCTGTCCAATTCAGAAACAATACTGCCCGAGACGGAAAGTGCACAGCTCACCCCAAAATGCTTTTCACTTGAGGAACAGCCCTATGGACCCAACCCTATGGGAAACTTCCCAGTGGTTTGGCCCCAAGGTGCTGGATTCCAATTACTCAACATCCTGGGATTTGCTCTGAGGAGTTGAGATTTTTTTCAAAGGCTGGAGTTTTTTTTCTTTTTTTTCCTTGTGATTTCATTCAGTTTGTTATATTATTCATATCCATAGTGTTGATGTTTCCAGACACACTGAATAGGTCTGAAAACCAGTGATTGCTCACTAAACAAACCAATTTTCAAAGAAAGAGTGAGACTCACCCACCAAGCATGAGATCATTATTTTTCAAATTCATTACCTTTTTTCCTTACCCGAGTTCATTGGGCCAAATAACACAAACCACACCTCAAACTCTATTTCATGCTAGAGAGATTTGGATTAACAGGAAAAAATAAAAAGAGAGATCGGAAGAAACAAGAAACAAGAGACACAACATGCAGGTGCCTTAACCCCAGCCTGAAACCCAGAACAAGAGAAGAGAGTCGTTCTGACTTAGAGGTGAGAATGAAAATGGGCGTGGAGGGTTTGCACCAGGACAATTGCTAGTCTACTTAAATGCAGGGTAGGAGGAGTCCCTGGGAACGGTGGAAAGAGGCATGGCATCCACAGATCATAGCACTCATTTGTTTTTTGTCTTCTTTTTTTCCCCTTTATTAGGGAGAAAGGAAGAGAGATAGGAACATCAGTGAGAGAGAATATCGACTGGCTACTCCTGCACGTCCCCCACTGGGGATTTGGCCCCCAACCTGGGCATGTGCCCTGACCAGAATTGAACCAGCGAACCAGCGACCTCTTGGTGCATGGGTTGATGCTCAACCACTGAGCCACGCCAGTTGGGCTAGTTTTTCTTTTTTAAAGCTCTAAACTTGCTCTGACCAAAGTGATACCTAGTAGTTGCAAGTAGCTATTTAAATTCAAATTATTTCAATTAAATAAGAATTCAGTTTTTTGGTTGTGCTAGCCACATCTCAAGTGCTCAATAGCCACATGTAGTTAGTGGCTACTGTACAGGGTGGGGTAAAAGTGGGTTTACAGTTGTGAGTACGCAAAACATGAGTTCTTTCTTGTATTATTATTTATTCATTATTGTATTGTTTTCCATACGAACAACTGTAGACTTACTTTTGCCTCACCCTGTATGTTTAGGGTCTGTGGATCCTGGGGGATCAACTAATTGGTAAAGAATAAAAATGACATTGTATAAATAAAGCTAATTTCTTGACTTATTCCAACTGACACATTTATTAAACAGAATTGTCTATAGAGAAGACACCTGAGTAAATTATTTCACAAATCCCATTACAGGTTGGCAGAACCAAATGATTTCTGCCAAGGAGACCAGAAAACTTTCTCTCTACTAGGCTGAGGATGATTATAAAGAACATGACCAGTTTCCTGAAATTTCCTTTTACTTTTCTGACTCCCTGAGGAAACTGGGGGTCCACCAAGGTGTCTATATGAGATTTACTCAGGAGATGCAGGTTTTCCCAGGGTTCTTGGTCTTTCTGGGAGGGTATTTGAGGTTGATATCAGGGTGGATGAATAACAGTCCCAGAAGAACTTTAATCTTAGTTCTGAGAACAGGACAATACCAAAGGGTTTAAGGAAGCAATGTGTAGAGTTTAAAGAGAACAGAACAGTCACAATGTCCTAAATTACAACAAAAACAAGACAGGACATCAACTTCCTTGGTGCTCAGACTGCTAGCTGCCCTCCTGAGAAAGCAACCCAGACTCTGAGTGCCCAGGGGCCCTCCCTGCAGAGCGGATCAGTTTACTCACTGCGCCCTCGCCTCCTCCTGGTGCTGTGCTGGCCCAGTCTGCCGGCCCAGCTGGCCTGAGGTGCTTTTCTATCCTGCAGCAATTCTCTGAACCTTCAGGACCAGGGGAGGATGGTCTGTGAATGGGAGGAGGCATCTCACATGGGCTGAGCCGATGCTGCCTGAGCCTGCCTCCTGGGTGGGAAGTAACAGGAAGTTTTCAGGCAGGTGATCTCTGCTGCTGTGGAATGTGTGATTCTGACGGAGGAAAGCACCTCACAGGGCTCCGCACATCACCCCCCTGGAGCCGTCCGGGGTCTGGGCTCCCCTCAAACACACCCTCAGGGCTCTTATTTTCATTTTGGTTTGATCCGTTTTTATGAGTGTGATTCGATCCTTTATTCTGTTTTTCCTTGTGCTTTACAAGGTCTATGTATGGTTCTGACTGCTCCTTGTCATGCTGGTTCACATATATCTGTCCAGGGTCACCTCTAGTTTTGGTTTTTATAACTCGCATATGCTACGTTTATAGGGATAGTCATTGCCCAAGTAATGCTCACACTGAGGTGGTCCAGAGACTCAGGGGCAAGTGATCTGGGAACAAAGAGACTGGGAGAAATTCAGGCCTAGAGAGAATGCTCAAGTAGGCAACTGATGCTGTCCAGTTCCTCCCTCCCCTCCCCTACCCTCCTTCCCCTCCCCGCTTCCTCTGGACCCAACATGTATATATACAACTCCAACAATATCTGAACAAAAGAAACCACGTTTCTTTCATTGACTGCATAACATATCATGGTACAGATGCACCATAGTTTATTTTGCCTGGTTTAGCCATGGGTAATGACGGTAATGTTAGAATTCGCTGGGTGCTTTAATCAATAGACTCAACAGCTCTCATGGGTCAGGACCATCTCTGTATCAGGTTAGGTATTTCAGGAAGCCAACTCTGAGACAGAGTTTAGTGTGCGGCATATTTACCTGGGATTACATACCCCTGGAAGGAGAGGGAAGCAATAGCACTGGGCTGAGAGAGAAGTCCAGCTGCCATGCAGGTGGGCCAGCCTCAGGCCACACCTCTTCCCCAGCCCCAGAAACGGCTACAGTTGCTCTGCACTGGGCCCTCTGTGGCCAGTCCTCAGGTAAGGGTTGCCCTTGGAGGGGGCTTCTCTGTGGCTGAGGCTATCCCAGAAGGGGGCTGATAGTGGAGGCTGGGGCTGCCAGTATTTCCAGCAAGTTCCCCTTTAAGGGGCCTGCATGGGGCATCTCTGTGTCCACCACGGGCTTGTTCCTCCTCAGCTCTTCAGGACCTGGCCGGGCACAGCATGGTCATTCACACAATGGAGTTCTGTGCTGTTGTGATGAAAAAGGAAGCCACAGAAAAACGTTCAATGACATAAAAGTACGTTCACTCATTTAGTCAACGAATGTTTATTGAAAGCTTATGATATATCGAGCACTCCTCTAAGTGCTGAAACTGAAAAAAGCAGGTTACAAAATAGTTCGTATAATTCTGCACACTTATTTTTTTAAAGTGTATTTATGTATATATGAATTAGAAAGTTAGAAAGAATGTAAATGTTAACAGGGTTATATCTGATGAATGCGGTGTGGATGACTTTTCTTTTTTATAGTTCACATGTTTACAAAGGATCTATATTACAATTATGAAGAGAAATATGTAAGTTATTTAAAACATGTACTCTTCTGGAAATCTTTGTGGTATAAAGTAACAAGGAAGTGAACAAGGATGTATGTCTCCATTTATATCGTAGGTACTTTATGTTCTATTACTGAAATTATGTGGGGAAAAAATAAACACAACCCTTTTAAAAATAGATGAAGTGAGCACAAAACCCATAACAAGAAACAAGAGACTAGCTAGGAAAAGAAAGATTGCTTCTCAGATAATAACTGCAACTGATTAGATGAGGAATTTCTGGTCCTTAACATATATGTATGATTGGTTAATTTTCCAATAATTGCTTTCTAACTGTTCTGCTAATCTCTACTTCCCCTTACCCACATCTTAACTCAATTCCAAAGCTCATCACTGAATTCTTATTATGAGCAAGGAATCTCAGTTGAGTTAGAAAGATTTGGGTATTTTCTTCCTATCACTACAATTTAGGCTTGAGACTCCAGTGGTTTGGGAGGCTAGGGTGGCAGAGGCGAGGTGGTCTTCTCCCCAGTAACCCCCGTCCCAGTTCCCTGTGTATACTCCTCTGAGAGTGAAATGACATCGTCTTAAGTGACTGGCCTGGAACAGGCTGCTGTCCCTTTCTCTTGGTCATCATGACCATCCCCCATCTGGCACACCACCAGCGGCCTCAGTGTAGTCGGGGTGGTGTACAGGTCTGGCTAATGAGAGTTCTCACCAAACCCAGCCAGCTCTCCTGACCCCAGAGGGTGCTCTCTCTGCCCCCTTCATCGGTTTGTGGCCAGTTTGTATCATCTACCCTGCAAGATCCGAGCTCTTATTTCATATGTACATTTCAGGAACTTGAAACTAAAGAGAGATATACTTGTCTCCTCTCTACTTGGCCAGAGTTATTTAGAGATGAAGACTGGGGGGGAGGAGGGGGTGTTCTATCTTACAATCCTTTTTTAAAAAAATGTTTTTATTAATTTATGTTTGTTACAGATGTTTCTCCTTTTTTTCCCCAATGACACCCTCCTCCCCATCCCCCCAACCCCATGCCCGGCTTTGTTGTCCGTGTCCATTGGTTATGCGTACATGCATGTAAATTCTGTGGTTTATGTCTTCCCTCCCCCCACAACTCCCTCTTCTGAGGGTTGTCAGTCTGTACCCTACTTCCACGTCTCCTGAGTCTACTCTGTTCCTCAGACTGTTATGTTCATTATATTCCACAAATAAGTGAGATCATGTGATATTTGTCTTTCTCTGCTTGGCTTGTTTCGCTTAGGATAGTACTTTCCAGATCCCTCCATGTGGTCTCAAAGGATAAGAAATCTTTCTTTCTTACAGCTGCATAATACTCCATTGTGTATATGTACAACTGCTTTTTTATCCATTCATCTACTGATGGACACTTGGACTGTTTCCAGATCTTAGCTATTGTAAATAGTGCTGCTACAAACATGGGGGTACATATATTCTTTCTGATTGGTGTTTCAGGCTTCTTAGGGTATATTCCTAGAAGTGGGATCACTGGGTCAAATGGGAGTTCAATTTTCAATATTTTGAGGTAACACCATAGTGTTTTCCATAGTGGCTGCACCAGTCTGCATTCCCACTAACAGTGTACTAGAGTCCCCTTTTCTCCACATCCTTGCCAATACTTGTTTGATGATTTGTTGATGGCAGCTATTCTGACAGGTGTGAGATGATACTTCATTGTTGTTTTAATTTGCATCTCCCTGATGATTAGTGATGTTGAGCATTTCTTCAAATGTCTCTTAGCCATTTGTATGTCCTGTTTGGAGAGGTGTCTATTTAGCTCCTCTGCCCATTTTTCAATTGGGTTCTTTGTATTCCTTTTGTTGAGTTGTATGAACACTCTATATATTTTGGAAATTAACCCCTTATCTGATGTATCATTGGCAATTATGCTCTCCCATACAGTGGGTAGCCTTTCCGTTTTGATGATTGTATCTTTTGCTGTGCAGCAGGTTTTGAGTTTGATGTAGTCCCATGTGTTCATTTTTTCCTTTGTTTCTGTTGTCTTAGGTGATGCATCAGTGAAAATTCTGTTGCGTATGATGTCTGAAATTTTGTTGCCTACATTTTCTTCTAGGATTTTTATGGATTCATGGCTCACATTTAAGTCTTTTATCCATTTTGAGTTTATTCTTGTGTATGGTGTAAGTTGATGGTCTAGTTTCACTTTTTTGCATGTAGCTGTTATCTTACACTCTTAACTACTGGGCTATATTGTTTGAGTGTAGTTAGACAATCAGTGTAACTTTCTAAATGGTATTAAAGCTCAGCTTCCATATTAAAAACAGCTGAGCTTGCCCGGCTGGTATGGCTCAGTGGTTGAACACTGACCCAGGCATCAATAGGTCACTGATTCGATTCCTGCTCAGGGCACATGCCCAGGTTGTGGGCCCGATCCCCAGTGAGGGGCATGCAGGAGGCAGCCAATCAATGTTCTCTCTCATTGATGTTTCTATCTCTCTCTCCTTTCCTATCTGTCTAAAATCAATAAAGAAAAAATACTTAAAAACAGACAAACAAATAAATAGAAACAGCTGAGCCAAACCGGAAAACTATGTTCCTGAAGTGTCCAGGTCCACACAATTCTAGTGCCTCTGCTTTTTCTTGACTCTCTTTGCAAATTTTACTGAATTGTGTAAGTTCAGTGGGGCTTTTTGTTTTTGTTTTTTTTTAGTTTTTTAAAAAAAATCTTTATAGGGTCTTCTCTCTTACTGAGCAATCCTTTAGCTCAACATTCTTTAACATTCTCATATCCCTTTCAGTTCCTGTGGATGATAAAGCTTAACTTAGTTCATTTTTGTTTGTTTGTTTGTTAATCCTCACCTGAGGATATTTTTTTTCCATTGGTATTTAGAGAGAGTGGAAGGGACGAAGGGAGAGAGGAAGAGAGAGAAACATGGATGTTAGAGAGATACATCATTTGGTTGCCTCCTGCACAAGCCCCCGACTTGGGCCAAGGATGAACCTGCAACCCAGGTATTTTCCCTTGACCCATGAAATCGAAACCAAGACCCTTTGGTGCATGAGCTGACATCCAACCACTGAGCCACACCAGCCAGGGCAGTTCATATTTTTAGATTATGGCCATCAAAAGATGATTTCTAAGAATATATGTAGCTCAATGTTCATAGCAGCACTAATTACAATAGCTAAGATCTGGAAAGAGCCCAAATGTCCATCAGTAGACAAATGGATAAAAAAGCTGTGGTACATATACACAATGGAGTACTATGCAGTTGTAAGAAAGAAAGATCTCTTATCCTTTGAGACGACATGGAGGGACCTGGAAAGTATTATCCTAAGTGAAACAAGCTAAACAGAGAAAGACAAGTATCATATGATCTCACTTATTTGTGGAATATAATGAACATAACAGTCTGAGGAATGGGGTAGTCCCAGAGACATAGAAGTGGGTACAGACTGACAATCCCCAGAAGAGGGGATGGT